CAGGTTCTCCATTTTAAATGAAGAAACCTATAAAAGGTATGACAACATATTTTATCTTAAACTAAAATTAGCAGAACAGTTTAATAAGCCTTGATGGAACTTGGTGGTTTGTTTTTGTTTGTTTTGAATTTGGGGGGACATTTATTAAAGCTGTGGACAGTGAAACAGGAAAGGATCAAGGATAGTAGAAGAGGGACTGGGTGAAAATGAGCCTAGGCTGGGCTGCTTTGGCTCACTAAGCAGTCAAAGAGAAGGGGGGCTTGAGACAGGTTCAGGAGATTTGCCTGGGACAGACTGCTGCTCTCCATTGCTGCCCTGGTCTAAAGCCTCATGGATTCTCTATAAAGTGTAGGAGATTCATGCATGTTGGGGAAGAAGAGGAAGAGGGGAAAGGCTAAGGCATGCTCCAAGGAAGGAGAGTGCACTGGAATTGGTGGTTTTTAATCTCAGGTTAACACTAATGAACCCATGAGTGGTCCTAATTTGTAAATATGTGTTCTGAAAAGTTGTAAATTAATCCACAGGAACAATATTAAAAGGTGATTAAGTGTGTTGTGAGCCAGCCAACTATTTAGCCCAGAATGGTGTTGCAATGTTACTGTCTTTTTTTATGACAAATAGTAGTAGGCAGTACTGTAAAATTAAAGAAAATATATAATTCATTTGAATCATAAAAGTGAACACTTTCTGCATCTCCTTATATCTGTACCAGTTAATAATGTGGATTTTTTTTCGATAGATGGAGTTACATATATTGATATATATGCGATTTGATATGTATGCTATTTTGTCGTATTGACAGCAAGCTTCAAAACTTCATATGTCAAATTTTTGGAAGGTGTTAACAGATATTTTTACACTTAAAAGTGTTGAATTTTGTTGCCAAAAAAAGCATTTGCTGGAAGTTTTAATTCATTATTTTGAAGAAAAAGTTGTATACTTCGGGAAGCTTGTGGTGAATATGCTGCATCTCAAGATATGTGAAAAAGCTGGTTTAAATGCTTTAAAATTGATGATTTTAACATGAAAGACAATGAATGTCTCAGTCAACTGAAAAAGTTTGAAGACCAGCAAGGACAAGCATTATTGGATGAAGATGCGTTTCAAACTCAAAAACAACTTATAGAAAGATTAAACTTTGTTCAGCAATTTCTGATTGTTTACAAGCAATGGGAAAGATTTTAAAGAAAGGAAAATGGGTGCCACATTAACTGAACAAAAGACAAATGGAAAACCAAAATATCATCAGTAAAATGTTGCTTCAATGGCACGAAATAAAGTCTTTTTTTGCATCAAATTGTGACTGGTGATGAAAAGTGGATTTATTTTGAGAATTGCAAACGCACAAAATCATGGATTGATCCGGACCAACCATCAACATCGACTGCAAGACCCAATCGCTTGTGAAAAAAGTCAATGTTCTGCATTTGGTGGGATCGGGAAGGTGTGGTGTATTATGAGCTTCTATAACTAGGTGAAACGGTTAATACCGATTGCTACCGACAACAAATAATGAGCAAATAATCAATTTGAACCACACTTTGATCGTGAAACAACCAGAATGTGCTAGAAGACACAGCAAAGTTATTTTGCTTCAGGATGATGCACCACTATACACTTCAAAATCAGTTAAAGACATGTTAAAAGATCTTGCCTGGAAAGTATTAATCCACCTGCTGTATTCACCAGACTTTGCTCCTTCAGATTACCACTTGTTCCAATCGATGGCACACATACTTTTCTGAGCACCACTTCAAAACGTATGAAGAAGTGGAAAATTGGGTCTCTGAATGGTTTGCCTCAAAACAAGAAAAGTTCTATTGGGATGGTATGCACAAATTACCTGAAAGATGGGGGAAAGATGTAGCTAGTGATGGACATTACTTTGAATAAAGTACTTTTGATGTTTCTCTTGAAATTATCATGTTTTCTTTGATTACAAAATCCACCATTATTAACTGGTACACCTAGTATATGCAGGGACAGGCTCATGTGTTTGAAAGAGTAAAAGACAAAAGTGATTCTGTTGAATCTCCTTTAGTGTTTTACCTCCTTTTTACTGAGATTCTTGTAGACTTCTCTCACTATATTGGCCCTTGCAGGATGATACTACTCTTTGAGTGTTATTCGTGACCTCGCCAAGAAACCAAATAAGTTTTTTTAAAACTTGTTGTCCATGCTTGGGAATATTTGAAACACCTGGTTTTTGTGATGCTGGTTCTCTCATCCCTTTTTCCCACAGCAGTATAGCATTCTGACTTCTCCCCTATGTCCTACTCACAACTGTTCATTTTCTCTTCCCTCCCTTAGTATAAGTTGCATGAAGCCAGAGAATGTCTAGCCTTGTTTACTGGTTTCTGTCTAGTACCAGGCCTAATGCTGTGTAGGTAATGAATAAATATTTATTAAGTAAGGGAATGATTTTTTTTTTTTTTCTGTCACCCAGTGAGATGACTTCCCAGGTTCTGTTGACCTTATCCTGCTATTTCTTACTTGCTTTTTTCATTGATACAGTATATGTGCCTTCTTTTACGGTTAAACTGTGCATACTGTACCTATCTTCATTTTGACCAGTTTCTCTGTATTTTAGCCCCTATGCTTTGTTCCAAGTTTATTATAAAAAAGTATTCACAATTTATTTATAAGTGGGAAAGTATGATACCAAGGGGCCTATTAGGTAGGTAAATAGGAACAGTAGGGCCACAACTAATATTTACCTACTTCCTCTTATTATTCAGGTTTTTGATCTCTTGTAAAGATACATGTTTTTCCTGCCTTCAGTTTCTGTTCCTCTATTCTATTTTTAATACTATGATCAAGCAATCTACTTAAATCAATGATCTGATCAGGTAATGATTTTTCTCTTGCCCTAGAATAAAATTTAGGAATTGGCCTTGTTTTGTTGTTCTGTGAAGTCAGGGACCATATGTCAGCTCAGAAATTGGACAAATTGTCTATGTTTAGAACTACTAGAAATGGAATCAGATTGTTCAAGTAGGTGTTGAGTTCCCCTTCACTGGTTAGGATATGGAAGGATAGTAAACAGTTTTCAAATGGGATGGATTATTGGAGAATTTTGAAGCTATAAGTACTCCAGGCCTTTGATAATACCCTTCAAACTGCTTAGTCCTTTCAAAGTCTGGCCCAGGTAAATTCTTAATAATTAGGATATCTTATTCATCTCCCACTGCATCTTGTAAGTGGTAGGTGCTAAACATATATTTATTCAGTAAATAAATAACTTCTATTTCTGGGTATTTTCTTGGGTGGATGAACTCAGGTTCTTTGTTTCCACTTCAGACTTGATTTTATGATGTGGGAGTATCAGATCTGGATTCTAAGTACTGGGATTCAGTGTTGGGCCTCCATATTGTGATCTTGGGCAAATTATTATCCCCGAGCCTTCTTTTTCATTAGAATGAAAATTAGAATGACAATTACTGTAAATAAGTTATAAGGATTAAATGCATGTGGAAATGTTTTATAATCTGAGAATGCTTTGAAAAAGGTAGAAATTATTCACATTGATTGTTTTGTAACTATATATATAGCTAAATCTCTACTGTTACACTTCCACCTTATAATTAGGCTTATTTTTTATCCTTGCAAGGGGAATAAATGTAGTTGCTTTCTCTTAAAAAGCAACACATTTCCTTAACTCCTCAAGGTAAAATTTCTCTTATATTATTGAATTGTGCTATTTTAATTTCAGACTACCAGTGTCTGTGGATTTCTTGTTTTAGGTTCAAAAAGTACCACTGGCAGAATTAAGTAACATTTTTTCCTCAAATGGACCACATTTGGTAGCAGTTTTCTAGATTTAAGATTTGCCTTAAGTTATTTGGTACTTATGATTTTATTCTTATTTTTAAATGACAAAATCAGTGAACAATTAGCAAAAGGCATTTAATGAAAATGTTACACACTGTAATTCTTTATTCTTTTCTTGTATTCCATACATACTTAATATACTGTATATTTCATAGTTATAAATGTACTAGAGGCCTGGTGCATGAAATTCATGCACTTGGGTGGAGGTGGGGACCTCAGTCTGGCCTGTGTCCTCTCACAGTCCAGGAACCCTTGGGTGATGTCCAAGTTCCTTGAGCCCAGCTTCTGGCTGAGCATTGCTCCCCATGTGGGAGCGCACTGACTACCAGGGGGCAGCTCCTGGGTTGAGCGTCTGCCTCTTTTGGTTGGTGTGCATCATAGTGACCGGTTGTTCTGCTAGTCGGTCGATTTGCATGTTAGCCTTTTATTATTATATATAGGACTAGAGGCCCAGTACATGAAAAGTCATGCACTGGGAGGGAGGGCGTTTCCTCAGCCCAGCTTGCCCCCTCTCACAGTCTGTGAGCCCTTAGTGGATGTCCTATTGATGGCTTAGTCCCGCTCCCCAGGCTTGTAGGAGGCAACTGGCCTATCAGGGAAAGGCAATATCCCCATCACATCTCGGCTTCTGCCACTGCTGGCTGCTGTGGCTGCCTGAGCTTCTGCCCTCGCAGCCACCACAGCTTGCCTAAGCCTCGGGCCAGCCTGGCAGCTGCAGCTGCCATCCACACCACTGCCTGAGCCTTGGGTAGCCACTGCAGCTTTGTCCAGAAGGACATCCACCCTAATTAGCATATCACCCTTTTATTGGTATAGATATTCCTTGTAAATGCTATAAATTATGCATTTTGATACTTTTTCCTAGATTGCATATGATGGAGTTAGATAAATCATTAATCCATGGTGCTTCATAACGAGTTCTTTCTGAGTTCAAGATGAGTGTGATCATGCAACACTGCTTTGTGGAGTATTAACTGTTAAGAAAGGGCAATTCTTGAATCTGAGAAGGGAAACAGATGTGATACTGACTAGGGCTGCCTTTATAAGTAAGATGTATTAACAATTTTGATTTTCATAAGATAAGGACTCAACTTTGGAAAAGAAAATTGCTGGTATTTGTTGTCTCCTCTTAATGTAGTAACTTACTGTTCTTTCTTCCCTTTAACCAGGTCAATATATGTTTTGTGACCTATTATTTTATCACAAAAAAAGAGAGAAGAAATTCTGCGGTGAATGAAGATTCCTCTGCATTTTAGCACTGCTTTTTCTACTGTAGTTGGCTTTTGAATGAGGATGACAATGGAAGAGATGAAGAATGAAGCTGAGACCACTTCCATGGTTTCTATGCCTCTCTATGCAGTCATGTATCCTGTGTTTAATGAGGTAAATCAGTAATATTTTCTCATAGGATCTCTGCAATTCCTTAATGTCTATTTCATTTACCCATTTATTTGTTCCTTCATATAACAAATACTTATATAAATGAATTCCATCTATGTGTTAGGTATCATGCCAGGACTGGACATAAAATAGTGGGGTGAGATTCCCAGATACATTGTTCCCCCTCTAGAAGTTTCACTGTAGTTGGAGAGAGAGAGACATTAACTAAAAGAATACAAATAATTAGATAAATGAAAAATTGTGGTAATTGCTATGAAGTTAAGAAAATTAGGTAGGGCCTGCTTTGGAAGTCAGGGTAAGCCTCACTGAAGAAGAGACATGCTAAGATCTGAAAGGGGTATGGAAGGGTTAGGAAGCTGAAGAGTTGGGGACAAGCACATGTTAGAGGAGTAGGCACAAGCTATCCTAATGAGTTACAGTCAGTAGCCACAAACATTTTTACCAATAAATGAAATACAACAGTGCTTTGTATTTAGAGAAGATGTAGTTTTTTTTTATTTTAGATATTCTAGAACAGCGTTTTTCAACCACTGTAGTGTGCCGCGAGATGTTGCCTAGTGTGCCGTAGGTGCAGACAAGACAAGAATTTTATAATTTTTCACTATTTTGTTTACTTAATATTTCATAATAAAGTAATTATAAAATACTTTCTTTGTGTTTATTTGATTCCTATTCAAGAGAATTACTTTATATATAGTCAATATAGGCACAGAGTTAAATTTTTTAACATTTTCTAATGGTGGTGTGCCTCGTGATTTTTTTCATGAAACAAGTGTGCCTTTGCCCAAAAAAGGTTGAAAAACACTGTTCTAGAACTTAATACATTTTGGCTTTTCTTTTAAATAAATATTTACTATGTTAAAGTGTGTAGAGAATTCTAGAACTGTGCAGGTTTCTTAAGTACTATAATCTAATCACTCACTGCCTTTTAATGGTGACCTGAGGTCCTGATATATGAAATTATTTTCCTGAAATTACCTATGACTAAAATCTAGGACTCCGAATTTTGTGGCTTTAGGCTTTTTATCTACTTAATTAGTTGTGGGTTGGTGGGTGCTTCCCCCCCTCTGTTTTATTAATCTAATTAATTATAAAGCTATTGATACCATTAACCTTATTGTTGCTACTACAACCTGGAAGCCCTTACCATTTCCAATAATCGTTCATCTCTTTTTGTAAAATAATTATATTAGAGTAAGATCGTGAGGTTTAAAACCATTTCTCCTACATTATTAGGTTTATTCATAATGAATGTATTTGATCTATTTTATGATCTAATGTCTTGGGGTCAATAGAGAGTGGTTCATCCTCTTCAACTTGAAATCTAGACTTAGTTTAGTTTCTATTTCAGACAAATATTTTGAACTTCAAACACTGTCTCCTAAATAGTGTTAGACTCAGTGGCCAAAGGAGAAAATGCAAAACAATTGCTTCGGTAAAATTTATTTCTCTTACATAAAAAAGTCTAGAGGTAAGTGGACTAGGGTGAGTATTATGGCACAGTATCACCTGAAACTCAGGTTCCTATCTTTTGTCCCGTTGGCCTTCCATTATCAAGGTCACTTCAGCATGTGGGATGCTGCTGAAACTTCCTGGAAAGGGGGAAAAAAAAAAAAAAAAAAAAAAAAAAAAGATCAGGAGTGTGTGTGTGTGTGTGTGAGAGAGAGAGAGAGAGAGAGAGACTTTCAACTCATTCTGCTTTCTTAAGAACCTTTTGAATGTCCTATACAAGACTTTCATTTACATCTATTGGCAAAAATATAATATTATGACCACGCCTAGCTGCAAAAGAGGTTGGGAAATTAAGAAGTTTGTTATTAAGGAGGAAGCAAATAGGAGGCATCTTTTGGAAAACCTGTCTCTATTACACTGCAACCATGCTAGCTTCTGAGGCCCTCTTTTAGTGCTGGTTACACCTATCTCCGGCAGCTTTAGCAGACACTCTAGTAATTAATTCCACCATTTGTTTTAATACTTTACCCATTCATTGCAAGGCTAGATTATTGTTAGAAGCAAGTGTTTCCCTTCTGTTTAGTAAATATTCACTAAATGCCAACCGTTTATTTGTTAAGTGTTCTGATAGAGTCTGGAAATGTAGAGGGAAAAATAAGGTTTCTTTATAAGAATCTTAGGGAATACAGATGCTTAAGCAAATAAATTATTTAATGATCCTTGTACGAGGTGAGAAGTATGGAGACAGTCCCTGAAAGCTGGTGAGTAATCTATCTTGATGATTAGTGTTTGGACTTCTCAGGTACTTTAAGAACCATCATGATAGTTTCTGCAGAGGTGCTCCCTCTTTTCATGTCTGTAGTCTAACTCTATAGCTAACTCAGTGGCTATTGGGTCAAGTTGTTCTGGGAGAATATTCTATATTTATCTGGTTACTTTGAGTCTTTTCTTGACAGGAGGCCATTACATTTCTGAGCTTCCATTTGATCCTTGAGTTAATGAAGAGGAATCAGAAAAGCTTTTTTTCCTAACAATTTGTGTGATATTTTTTACATAAGGAAAGTGGATTTTGTTTGTCTTGACTTTGGAAAATAGTTGTATAGGATGTAGCATTCTGGTGAAATGCTCTGTTGGGATTAATACAGCTTTCCTAATTTATTTGGTATAAGGAAAATTAACTTGAAAGAAAAATAAATGGCTGTGAATGGACTAGTAAATCTCTTTCAGAAATAAAGGCAGTGATTCTCTCCAGATGAGATCTAAAAACAAATGTAGGTTAATGGGCCCAGAATTAGAACGTGTTGCCAAATGATTCATAGTTGGTTCAAGAACTAATTGTTAGAAGTAAAATTTTAAAATGAAATGGCTAGAAGTGGAAGACTGAGAGATAACTACATCAAATTCTCAGGGTCTAATTCTCAAATTGAATTTATTGATCAAACATGGTATCAAACTTTTTTAAACAATTATTTCTGTCATGTATTTTAAAAAGAGAATACAGAATGAATAAGCTTTTAGGAATATTAGTATTAATAGGTTTCCTCTTTGACAGATGAAATCGTGGGCTTGATATAGGAATGGAATCAAATGATTAGTGCACCTTCAAATGTGAAGTTTTTGTTTAAAAAGACTAAAAAACTAGCATTATTCTCTGACATTCCAGTATATTAATGTAATATCTTAAATAAGATGCCTAATCAGTTCATTGATATTTATAGTTCAAAGGAGGATTTTTCTATAAATCTACTAATTGGGAAAATAGTTTGGCATTGTCTGTAGTATGCAGATTTAAAGATAAAGTGGTTTTCAAGTTAATCATGTAGAAAGTAGTACCACCGAACCACTTTGAAGGTAAATGAATCACTAACTTTGTCTGCAATCTATATATTTATAAAAACCTAATATGTAGATTGTCCCCACTGGAGTTCTGTCGGGAGACCCATGACTTGCTATGATGTGCACGGACCACCAGGGGCGTTGCAGAATAAAGGTCAGACCCAGCCAGCAGCTGGAAAGCCCGGATCAGCCCTGATTGCCAGCCAGGCCTAGGGACTCTACCCGTGCACACCAGGCCTCTAGTGTAATATAAGAGTGAAAAAGCTTATGCATTCTCACCATAACATTACATCCATAATAATAACCATTATGGGTCTCCCAGTCATGTAGAACAGATTTTTAGACAGTAGTACATCCTTGCATCTGAGGAAATTTTGGTAGCTCTAGCTCACAAGGCAAAATTATTTATGGAATTCTGGGAGCTTGACGCTTGCTAAACTTAATGAAGTTATGCTAGGACAGCTGAAAGAGTGGGCTTGTTTAATCAGCAGCTGCAGAGTTCAGAGTCCAAGTGAATTGCATGTGTTGTAAATGTACTGTGAAATAGGTCTCCTGTTTGCATTATGGAATGAGTTTATAAAAGCCCAATGCCAAGTGTAAGAACAGGTTTTCAGGTACTTTTTTTTTCCACTAATTTTTTGTATATATAGAGAAAGAGAGTTGTATTCTTCATTTATTCATTCGAGGAAAGGATATACCACGTGTCTTATTTTCCCATGACTTTTGGAGGAATTGTTTCAAGGTGCAATATACTGTATGAAGTAGGTATTTTGAGACAGAAATAACAACTTTGCAACCAAAGGTGAATTTTAGACAGTCAAAGTTTTATACTTTTGTTTATTAAAAAAACAAACAAAAAGAAAACACACACACACACACTTAAAACGGCACTCATGATAATTAATTAGTATTATTCTATTCAGAAGAATCCAAATCAACTATTTCTGCTAACTCTCAGCAGCATATATGGTACAACTCTTAATTTATCAATAAGGAAATGAATCTGAGAATACTTCTCCAGCTTTATCTGTCCTTTTTATTTTTTCCTAGTGAAAAAAAAATCCCAAATTTTGAGCATAATAAACATACTTTTTCACAGTGAAGGCATGAGTTTCCCCTACAATACCACCATCCAGAGGTAATCATAGTTAATATTTCCATTTGAATTGCTTCTCTGTCACTTATTAGGTTATATAATTTTGTCTTAGTTTTTTTTACATATAAAATGAGACTAAAAAATATTTCTTACCCTGGCCAGGCTTGCTCGGTGGTTAGAGTGTCAGCCCCCAAATTGAAGGGTCTCAAGTTTAATTTCTGGTCAAAAGTATGTACCTGAGTTGCAGGTTCCATCCCTGGACCCTTGTGTGGGAGGCAACCAATTGATGTGACTCTCTCACACTGTCTCCCTTACACATGGTAGAAACTCAGGAGTTTGTTGGCTCTTAAGTAGCTGAAGAAATTCAGTGGTAGGGTAGACTCCCCTCTGGAGAGAGTGAGTATAAGGAGGCAGGGTAGTATTAGTCTTATGCATGGGATTTGGAGCCAGACGCAGTGTGAATCCTTTCTCTACTAGCTTTTTAATATTTGCATAAATTGATGCAAACTGAGTTTCTTTTATAAAACAGAGATGATGATAACTAGTTCCATATTTATTGTGAGGATTAGAGATACTCTATAAAAATATGCTGTATAATAAGTCCTGAGTAAATGAAAGCTGTTAGATTATTAGAACCTGATATTGTCATGAAAGGTACTAGTAAGATAAACATGATTTTATTATGAAATCATATATCTCAAGTGAGAGGCCTAAAATGGAAGCACTTTTAATAAGGAAAAGAAAAACATATCTTGCCCTAACTGGTTTGGCTCAGTGAATAGAGCGTCGGCCTGTGCACTCCAGGGTCCCAGGTTTGATTCTTGTCAGGGGCATGTACCTTGGTTGTGGGCACATACCCAGTAGGGAGTGTTCAGGAGGCAGCTGATCGATGTTTCTCTCTCTCATTGATGTTTTTAACTCTATCCCTTTCCCTATCTCTCTGTAAAAAAATAATATATTTTTAAAAGAAAAATTTATCTTACTGAGTATTATAAGCTGAAATTATAGATTACAGAACAATTTAGATAAATTTATGAGAAAATAAGTTTGATTAGAATATCTATAGTGCCTATATGCCTGGAACTCCCTGGGGAATGTGGATATCAGATAGGTATTAAGCCTAGTGGGTTTATTACAAGATATGTGGGTATATAATATTAGGTCTAGTAATAATTAATGTCGTTTTCTAATATATTTTTTTTTAAATCGAATTTATTTAAACAATACAACAAAATTTAACCAACAATATAGTTGCCGTTGTTTTCTACTACTTGTGCCCAACGCTCAGGAAGCATTTTAATCCCTCTGTTGTAAAATTCTTGTGATTTTGATGCAAAAAATTCAGTCAATGCATTTTTGAGGCATTCTTCATTATTAAATTTTTTCCAAGAAGAAAGTTTTGCAAAGAACGAAACAAATGGTAATCGGAAGGGGCAATATCAGGAGAATATGCAGGTTGAGGGAGAACTTCCCATTCCAACTGGCGCAGTTTTTCAGCAGTGATTCTTGCAGTATGCGGTCGTGCGTTATCCTGGTGAAGAATTACGCCCTTCCGATTAATCAGCGCGGGTTCTTTTTCTCTTAAAGCTTGGGCTAACCTTTCCAATTGGGCACTATACACTGCACTTGTAATGGTTTGGTTAGATGGTAAAAGTTCATAATGAAGAATTCCTTTAAAATTCCACCAAACACACATCACTTTTTTTGCATGCAAGTCAGGTTTTGGCGTGGGCTGCGGAGCCTCATTTTTGTCCAACCATTGAGGCCGCCTTTTCAAATTAACATACAGCAGCCATTCTTCATCTCTGGTAACAATTTGCTCTAAAAACGGCAAACGGTTTTGACGAGAGAGGAGCGAACTGCAAATTGTGACTCTTTGATTACGGTTGTTGTCGGTCAACTCATGAGGAACCCATTTTCCAAACTTTTGGACTTTGCCAAGTGCACGCAATTGATTGGAAATTGTTTTTTGTGAACAATTTAAAGTTGTCGGAAGCTCTGGTTGGGTAATTTGAGGATTTTGCACCAAAAGAGCTTGAAGAGCTTCTTGATCAAAATTGGACACACGGCCTCGACCACTCTTGTCATCTAACGAAAAATTTCCCTGGCGAAATTTCTCAAACCAACGCTGGCATTTTCTGGCGCTAACTGCATCTTGACCAAGAGCACTACAGATGTTTTTTGCAGCCTCACTTGCTTTTCTTCCTAACTGGAACTCGTAAAGCATGCAGTGCCAAATATGCTCTTCATCCGCCATCTTCTTAGCCCTAGTTTTGCAACAAAAACCAAACCAAACACAAACTTTTTCAAGCAAAACTTGTTAATTGCACTTCACATGTTCTGTAGATACCACGTGTTTGAAGGTTATGTCAATACAAGTCAACGCCAAGCAAGATTTTAAATGAACGTTGAAAAACGACATTAATTATTACTAGACCCAATATATCCCAGAATGACTCCTCTTAGAGTTCTGGTGAGGTGCTTCATAGCTCACAGATTTGATTTAGTCTGTTACCTCTGATCTCCCCTTTCCTTTCTAAATTATACATATGTAAACTTAATCTAGAAATCTAGAGATGCAGATAGTAAGGGAAGTTGGCTAATTCTATGAGTTCTTCACAGACTATTCTTGACCTCTTTTCCTGGCCTTGAGCCTTTTGCATCTTAGGGCATTAGAGAATGAGTTATATTGCTGATAATTGAAGGCACAGATGTGACTCAGACCTTTGACTTGTTGAAAGAGGTCAGAATGTGGTGTTAACCCAAATAAGGAAATAGGTTTCTATCAGGGTGGAAACATTCATCCTGTCTCCTTTTGCCTATCCTGTATAACAAGAACTTGAGATCAGAAGAGCCGTGTTATTTTAATCTTCAGTTCAATTCATTATAACAAAGTGAATTCTGTGGGGAAAAATTCAGTTTTGAAGATATACCTCTTTGTTAATATTTTATAAATTCCTCATGGAGTTGCTTTTTTGCTAACTTGTCCCCTTGGATTTCCCCTTTTACCTACTAAAGACAGTGTTACATTTTGCAAGATGTATAAGAAGCTAAGTTAAATACTACACTTTTTATTTTTGGAGATAAAGTAATGTTGGAGATTTCGTGTGCGCGTGTGTAGGGTAGGTCAAAAGTAAGTTTACAGTCATTTGTATGGAAAAATACAATAAATAATAATACAAGAATAAACTATATCTAGTACTCAACTGTAAACCTAGTTTTGCCCCATCTTGTATGCCATGCCTTGAGATTGAAAGGAATATTTATTGCTTAATAGGTTAATAAATTTTCTGTAGAAATTTTCTATTTGCATAGAAATTTATAAAGGTTAGAATGCTTTTGCACATTTAATACTGTCCCAAATAAAAAATAAATACTTTGAGTTTTATTTAGTTAACTGGCCTAATTCTTATGTACTAAAGAAATCTGAGTTTAACTGAAGATAGGTATTTTAAGCCTGGCAGTTAACTCTTCAACAAAGAAGTATTTTTGTTTTTTTATGAAATTGTATTAGAGGCCCAGTGCATGAAATTCATGCATGGGGGGGTGGGCGGTGGGGAGAGTCCTCTCAGCCCAGCCTGCACCCTCTCTAATCTGGGACTCCTTGGGGGATGTCCCTCTCACAATGCTGGACTGTTGGCTCCTAATCACTCAAATGCCTGGTCACCTCTTACTGCTCCCCCTCCCAGCCTGGTAGACCCCTCTACTGGACTGGTTGCCTCAACTGTCCCCCTGCCAGCCTTATCGCCCCTTTCTGACCCCAGTGCCAGCCTAATTGCTCCCAATTACCTCCCACCTGCCAGTCTGCGCGACCCCGACTGCACTCCCTTGCCAGCCTGGTTGCCTTCCATGCCTGCCCCCCCCCCCCCCCCCCACCACCACCCTGGTCACCGCACGCAGCCTGCTGTTCAGTTGTTTGGTCGTACCTCACTAACCCCTCTGCCGGCCTGATTGCCCCACATAGCCAGCTTATTCAGTCGTCCCTCACTAACCTCCCTGCCTGCCTGTCATAGGCAGTCATCTTGTGAGGGTTCCTCTTTATTATTATATATAGGATGCCTTCTTTGGCTCACTGAAAGTGAATTGTATAAAGTTTCTAATATGGTCATTTTATCTTTCAAAATTATAAAGGTTACATCCTATATAATAAAAGGCTAATATACAAATTGTCCCTTCCACTGGGAGTTCAACCAGGGGGACAGGGCCAGCTGGCCAACTACCCACGGCCCCTCCCCACAGCCAGCCCTGCTCCAGTCAGCCTCGATTGGGGCATATGGGCCAGACCCCACCAGTGCACGAATTTGTGCACCAGGCCTTTAGTATTTGGCATAAAAATTAAAAGCATTTGGATTGTACTTTTGATTTAGTTTTTTATGTAACTCTTTTTTAATCCTGATAAAACACAGGACAGATATAGGCATCTCGGAAATCCTAGATGATCCGTAGTCTTCAATTTGTGTGTCAAACCTTTTATCTTCACTATTTGCTAATTAATAAAATAGACTAATCTCAGCTTAATCCTTGGCTGAGGGAATTGAAAAGCAATTAAAAGGAGTATGGTGCTAAATACAAAGAATCTTAAGTAGCAAATGTTTTCTTTGTATTGGTCATTTTATATTCAATAGACACACACAAAAGTGTTTATTCTTCCCATAGGGATTTACATTATTTTGTATTCTGTGCTAGTCTTAAAATAAATCTATCTTTAAAGTACAGTGTTTCTGAGCAACCCACTTGGGCTTCTTTCCTCCAAAGGGAGTCTGTCTATCTCTCAGTAAACTGCTTTTGCTTAAAATAAAGTACAGTGTTTCTTGTTTTTTAAAAAAAAGGAATAAAGTACTGATATACATAGCTTAATTTTTCATGGTTTCTAATGAAATTTTTTTAGATAATTCTCTTTAAAGAATTATGGTGAGTTAGAGTTAATTAGCCAATACTTTTGTTAGTTGAATGATGTGTATATCAATGTGCTTACTATAGAATGGAATATCAGAAATGTTGCTTTTTCTAAGAAAATTGATATTAATTTTGATTTAAAATTTTTATTGCAGCTAGAACGGGTAAATCTGTCTGCAGCTCAGACACTGAGAGCAGCTTTCATTAAGGTGAGGCACAAGTAACTTATTGTGATTGTTTGAATGTATGTTATACATAAATCTAAATTCCACATTATTTTCTTAGTGACAATCCTTTTAGCTACCTTGTGCCTGTTTTGGTATACTCTGTAAAGATTAATACACTTCTAAAAAGTGATATGACACAAGTGTTCTTTCCTGAAAATTCATCCTTTCACTTGGTGCTTTTGAAACTGACTGGAGTATTCCCTCTTTAACTTTGGAATTGATTTTTAAATTATTATTCTTTTTTTATTTGTTAAACCTTTCATAAAATTGTAACTCAAAAATGTTCATATTATTCAATTTTAGGACATAAGTATAAAACAATGTTTTAAGCGTGAAATAAGACCTCTGTGTACATCACATTAAGTACACTTTGAGAATATACAGCTAAGTCACTCAGCATGAATTTTTCTGTTGTTTCTAGACCTGAGATTTTCCATTAATAATCACTAGCCATCTGTCACTGTTGAGGACTTAAAATATGGCTAGTTCCAATTTAATTGTACTGTACATGTAAAATACATGCCAGATTTCAAAGACAGTACAAAAGAATGTAAAATAACTCAGTACTAAGTAATTTATATTGTTTACATGTCGAAATGAATTTTTAGATGGACTCTTAAGACAATTACATTTTTTATATATTTTTAAACATATTTTTATTGGTTCCAGAGAGGAAGGGAGAAGGAGAGAGATAGAAACATCAATGATGAGTCATTGATCAGCTGCCTCTTGCACGCCCCCTACTGAGGATTGAGCCTACAACCTGGGCATGTGCCCTTGACAGGAATTGAACCTGGAACCCTTCAGTCTGCAGGCCGAAGCTCTATCCACTGGGCCAAACCAGCCAGGGCTTAAGATAATTATATATATTTTTTAAACTTTTTGAATATGGCTACTAGAAAATTTAAAATTACATGGGCTTATGTTTGTTTCTTGAATTATATTTTTATTGGATGCCTCTACTTTACATGTTGGGTGCATTCTTGCATATAAATATATATCCCCCATCCCCCAAAATATATCCTCAGAGTGCCTCTAACTTTAATTATTATTTACTTTGTGTGTGTTTGTTCCTTTCAATAGCTAAAACAACTTGTTTTAGGTAAAATATTTTAATTTTTAAATCAAGAATAAATTTATAGTTGAGATTCATTGGAGTTGAAATTATAAATTCATCTGATATTTTTTTTGGCAAAGATTAGCTTATAGATTCAGTCTTAACTGATAGCATAGACAATGTCACTTGGCATCTCTCTTTTCATATTAAATATGTTGGATTAGAATTATTTAGATGTATTTAATATCCTATAAAATGTAGTTCTGAGTACACATTAATACTAGCTTCTTTAAAACATTCTTGCCAAATGATTTGGGTTAATAAAGAGAATCAAATCAATGCCATTATCTTTTATTTTTTTCCTTCCTTTCCTTATTAGTGTGATTTGATATGCCATATTTGGTCAGTAGGGAGGCTTAATGGCAACTATTTTAAGCATGTTTGTAACCAAAGAAAAGAAGGAAAAGTGATAGGCTGCACAATGTAGTATTGGTTAGGCAAAAGTCCATTTCTCAGCTTTTCTGATACTAGAACAGAGAATATTTATCCTGTGTATTTTGGTAAAGAAGACCCTGTCTGAAGCAGTAGATGGTATACTAATTGACTTTCATAAAAGAGATAAAATAATGAATTTCATGAAGCTTTTTTTGGTAATGTCTTTATATATAAGCTCATGTTTTAACACTGAAATACAAGTAAAAAGCAATTTGTTTAAAGTATGTGGTTATGGTAGATCTGGCTTGATACATGGGTAAATTTTGCTCTCCATGGCATGGATTTTTAACTGTGGATAGTGAAAGTTATTTTGGAAGAAAACATTGATTTGTTCTTAATGATCACATTTAATATGTTAAATTTCAAAGGAAATTAAAAGAAGGCATGCATTGGAAAGATAAAGATTTTTGTGTTTATATAGTATATTTAAATGCATATTTCTAGTTCTGTTTCCATAACAACAGTTATATTTATTGAGCTTTAATACCTGTTTTTGTTATTGGGGAAAAAGGGTTGAAATAGTTTATTTCAAGATAAAATAATTTTAGTAAATATATATTCTGCTTTTGATTCCTTTCCCCTCTAAAAGTTCCGATAGATTGTGCTGTAGAGTATCACTGATTTACAGATTGGATATTACTGCCCTTGGGGACAGTTTTTTGTTACAGTTGGATTCTTCATAAAAATTTTATTTGGCGGGGGGGTGAGGGAGGAGAAACCTGTAGGTATATAGTCTCTGATTTAATAAATCTGTTTATTTTGTCAGAGTCATTGGATAAATTTAAGGATTTTTAAATAAAAAGTAGCCTAAGTAAGAGTTCAGACATAAAATAAGGCAACTATTCTCAAACTATGTGTCAGAGCACCCTGGGACCCCATAGCAAATATCTTGGGTGTCATGAGATATTTAAAAATTTTAAAGAAACACAGTGATATTTAACATCTGGTTGTCACTGAACTACTAGCTTGCAGTATGCTGTTGCAACGTATTTGATTGAATTGCATTCCTTTCAGTTATGTCATGTCTTTGTCAGCTGGACTTTGGTCATTGCTGTGATAAAAAGCAAGTACCATAAGGAAATCAATGTACAACAAGAAATGAGGGTAGTGTCCAATCTAATTCCAGCATTTGAGACATTGTGCAGTGTCTAACAGGGTTTACAGATTTCATTAAAATAAGTAATTATAGTTATTAGAAGAATGAAATTAAATACTTTTCTATCAATTGGTATATATATATATATATATATATATATATATATATATATTTTTTTTTTTTTTTTTTTTTTTTTTAAGGCTACTAGGTTTCTTAGGCCTTCAGTATTTATTAAGTTGTTTGAACCTGACTATGTAATACACAGTACTGTTAGGTATTCCTTTTGGCACTAGGAACATTGACTTTAGAACATTAGGGACCTCTGTAATGTTTCAGCTTTGGCATGTTAGGGCCCCAAACCAACTTGATATTGCAAACTTTGTTGTCAGGCTTTCAGCATTTGATTTTTTTTCAGCACCTTATTATAACTTAATCACAGAGATTGTTTTCTGCAGGCATTGTCTGGAAGCATATGGAGATTGCCCCCCTGCTTCCCAAAATAATGTGTTATAATTCATGCTACTTAGGAAAGATAAACCAGTTATCAAATACTGACTTATTTAAATAGTGTCCTACATGTAATTTTGTATCAGTTCACCAAATTCTTAAAGTTTATACTGCATTCTATAGCTTTTCTTTTAAAGACAACTTATTTTCTTTTCATTAAGCAGATCCTACCTTAAATAAATCTGTGGAAGGAAAAATCAAAACAGATTATACAGCGGTCCCCTTATCCACAGTTACACTTAGTTACCTGTTTAATCGCGGTTCACAAATATTAAATGGAAAATTCCAGAAATAATGTTTTATAATTTTTAAATTATAAATTTATGGCTTGACTTTAAATTTATTTTTAAAATTTCAGAAATAATAATAAGTTCTTAGGTTTTAAATTTTGTTCCATTATGGATCTTGGGATGAAATTTCACACCATCCTCCTCAGTCCCACCCACGACTTGAATTATCCCTTAGTCCAGTTTCTCTATGCTGTATGTGCTCCCTGCCGTTAGACATTTAGTTGCTTTCTCAGTGACATATCAGCCGTTCGTGGTATTGTAGTTATGTTTAAGTAGCCCTTATTTTACTTAATAATGGCCACAAAGCTCAAAAGCAGTTATACTGGCAATTGGGATATGTCAAAAGAGAAGCCACAATGTGCTTCCTTTAGGTGAAAGTTTTTGACTTGAAAAGAAAAGAAGAAGAAAAATGTGTATGTCCAGGTTGCTAAAGTCAGTGGTAAGAACAAATCTTATATTCATGAAATTATAAAGAAATTTGTGCAGATTTTGCTGTCCCTTCTCAAACTGCAAAAGTTACTGCCACAGTGCATGGTAAATGTTTATTTAGTTAAGTTAAAAAGTCACTAAATTTGTGGGTGGAAGACATGAACAGAAAATATTTCAATTGATAACAAAAATGTGTTGCACCAGGAAACATTGAGACTGTGTGAAGATTTAAGCAAGGGATCCCTTAAAACAAGTGACACCAAGCCATATTTACTGCAAGTAAGGGCTGGTTACAATAAGATATTTTGATAGAGACTATATTTACATAATTTTTATTACAGTGCATTGATAGAACTTTTTTTATTGTTATTGTTGGTCTCATTGTGCCTAATTGATTTATAAGTTAAACTTTATCATAGATATGTATGAATAGGAAAAACAGTTCAGATAGTCCCCAACTTAAGGATTTTTTGTTTGTATAGTGTTTTGGAAGCTATCCACATTTGTTAGAAACTATACTTGGAATTTTGAACTCTGATCTTTTCCTGGGCTAGCAATATGTGGCACAATAGTCTCATGATGCTGAGCAGTGGCATTGAGCTGCAGCTCCCAGAAAGGCACTCCCTCTGAGAGTAAACAACCAATACTCTACAGTGTACTGTGTTATCAGCATTTTTTAAATACTGAGTTCTGAGTATTGGTAGACTTGGCTAAGCTGTGATGTTCTGTTGGTTAGGTGTATAAAATGCACTTTCAAGTTAGGATATTTTTCATTTGTGATGGGCTTATAGGGTCATAACTTTGTCATAAGTTGAAGAGCATCTGTCTTTATAGGGTTTGGTACTATCCATAGTTTCAGGCCTCTGCTGGGAGTCTTGGAATATATATCCCTCATGAGAAATAGGGACTACAGTTAAAAGAAATAGAATTCAGCTCTAGCCAGTTTGGCTCAGTGAATTGAGCATAGGCCTTCGGATCAAAGGATCCAGATTTGATTCCAGTCAAGGACACGTACCTTGGTTATAGGCTGTTCCCCTGCACCTGCTCTGGACAGGGCTCAGACAAGAGGCAACCAGCCAATGTGTTTCTCTCACATCAGTGTTTCTGTCTGTCGTTCCCTCTCTCTTCCATTCTTCCTAAAAATCAATGAAAAATATCCTCAAGTGAGGAATTTAGTAAGACCCACTTTATTGTTATTAATTATTATATATATCAAAATGACTTTCCTGGGGATCATTTGACAATAGTTAAAAGTGAGATAATGTTTATATTTTCTTTTCCTATTTATTAATTCCATAGCATTTTAGTTTTTTTTTTTATTAAAATAACGAGAAACAAGATGTCATAATGGAGAGAGCAATAGAAGCAGAAGAAAGCTGTATCTGCAGTGATCCCAGAGTAGAATTGAATAGGCAGATTAAATGTGCTAGACACATAAGAAAACAAATAGGTCACCATATGGTTAAGATCATAAATTGTTTCTATTTTCTATTTATTATCAAGGCAAGAAAGATGAGGAATCATCAGCATAATGATTAAAATTGGCAGTCATCCTAAATAAAACAAATGTATAGTGTGATTATAAAATTTTGAACAATTATAAAATTGGGTAAAATTAGTGGGGAAAACCCAAATCTCAAAAATTAACTTTGGTAAGCTCAGAACTCTTTATGCTCAGTACTGAAATGACTAGACCATTTTAGTGCCCTAGGGAGTAACAGAACCATTGCAAATTCATCAGGGAAACAAACTCAGGGTAGTAGAAGGATTAATAATGTTCTGGAAACTAAGGAAGGTAATAGTCTTGCTACAAAAATAAAACAGAAAGTGAAAATGATTGTATGGGAAAGTATTTAAGGGATTATATATCTTCAAGAAAACTTGCAAAAGTAATCCTGTTTTATTTTTTGTATTCCTGACATTCTGTTAATTTAAATGCAGAGAATCTGTAAAATACTGGTAAGATGAGTAATTAGTTGCTAGATCCTCAAGTTGAAAGATTACCTAATGAAGAAAATTAAAAATTCTTAATCTATTTTAGCTTTTAAAAATATAAATGTTTATTAGTATTTTTGTCTTTGTTATTAGTTTGATTTCAGGAGAAGGTAAAGGAGAAGTAGGAAATGTTAATACTTTGAGTTCAAATGGAAAATAAACATTGTAATAAAAGTTACTGATGTTTAAGTTTTATCAAACAGAAGTGATACCATCACCACACCTGCTTTACAAAGATTTCTGCCTTTCTAGGTTCATCAGTCTAAGTTCCCAAACCTTCTAAACATTTAAGTTTTGGTTTTAAAATTCTGGTTTCATTTCTACATTTCAAAACTAGCTTTCTCTTTCTTATAGGCTGAAAAAGAAAATCCAGGACTCACACAAGACATCATAATGAAAATTTTAGAGAAAAAAAGTGTAGAAGTTAACTTCACAGAATCGCTTCTTCGAATGGCAGCTGATGATGTAGAAGGTAATCAGAAAAGAGCCTTGTTTAGTTTTCTTATAGTTGTAGAAAAGCACTTCTTCCAAATCTTTATTGCTTGACAAAAGGTTCTAGCTCCTCTTTCCCCTCTCCTCCTGCTCTTCTTTTTTTTGTTATTATTATTATGAGAATATTGGGGTGGGAAGGGGGGTCTATAAAATAGAAAAGTAGTTCTTGCTTTCTGTTTTATATTTGTCAGATTCAGGTTTAATTACTTGAAGTAAAGTGTTTGTTTATGTTATACACTTAAATTTTCTCCCCTTGTTGAATATGCTTGATGAGTTCTGGTTTTGTCAAAAGATAAACTCTGTGGAATGTTGTTGTTTTTTAAATTTTTTTAAATTTTGTGTTGACTTGATGCAAAAAGCAGTTTGAATTAATGAGGGTTTTTCTAATTTAGTATTTTATTCAACCACAGATTTGAGAAAACAATATAATAATCATTCTTTCTCATTTTTTGCTTTTTTAAATAATTAGAAATGGGTTTCACTTAAATTTAGTACCAATTTTCTCACTAATTAAGAAAAAAATAGAAGTAGAATTTCCCATCTTTATTGGGGGAGAAAAAAAAGGAAATATTTTAACTGATTCCATAATTTGTAAGAAAGTCCTCATCATTATTCTAAACTTATGCATTTCCAGTCTGTGAGGCCAGGTTGCATTGACTGCTAGGGTTGTAATGTTTCCAGTCTACAATGAATCTACTACTAATGTTTTTGCCTCTACCAGGTCTGATTATACTTCCTTTCTAAGGTTGCTCTTCTGTGATCCAACCCTTGTGTTGAATTTTTGGTAGTGTTTTTTGGTGTGTGTTTTTTAAGTGAGATTTTTAAGTGAAGACTTTAGTAGGTTGTTTAGGTTTTGGTATAATGAGCCATTGTATATTCAATGTAGATATTTTTGTTAAGCTCATCTTCCCCATTGGCAGGTACATGTTGCCATCGTATTTGTCATGAATGTCATTAAGGTTTTCTCGAGAAACGTAGCTTCAGAGGTTTGGTCAATTTGATTAAGACTCCCTTTTAATTTTATTTATTTATTTTTATTTGGGCTTTCTATTTATCCCAAATTGAAAATGTTTCGTCTTTCATCTTCTGTTATCTTACTTTGTAGGAGCCCTGTTATTACCAAACTAAGTTGAACTCTTAACAAATTCTGCTTTTGCAACCTTGTCTTTCCTGGTTATCTAGCCTTTCTACTCCCCTCCCTCACCCTCATGACCAACATTGGGAATTGGTAGACTTGCATTTGACAGGGAGTTGCCTGATGCTTTTTATTATGTATTTATTTTATCAGAGTATATGATTGAACGACCAGAGCCAGAATTCCAGGATCTAAACGAAAAGGCACGAGCACTTAAACAGATTCTCAGTAAGATCCCAGATGAGATCAATGACAGGGTGAGGTTTCTCCAGACAATCAAGTAAGCAACTTCTTGTTTTTGTTCTTTTCTTAAGCACTTCATAGGAACCTCTCATTCTAGATACTTCATTTTAGTATGACATAAATGTTAAATTAAAATATTAATTTGAAACAAATTTGGAGTTTTTAAATGCTTTGTTAACTTCTAAGCTGTGGCATTTCACTTCAGAATACAGTAACATTTGTTTAGTATTTAATTTTAAAACAATGAAATGCACATAAATTGAAATATAGTTTAAACTATATAAAACATGGAAAAATTAAATGTCAAGTTAAAGTGAATAAAAAAGTTTTGGATAAATTATATGCCTGGATAACATTGTTTTTATTTCAGAAATAGCACAAGTCATTAGGACAAGCCATGTACTCTTTGTGGATAAAAAACAGAGAAATTTTGGAATAATTGCAGTCATGCTGTTAACCTGTTGGTGAAATTACAGCTTAGAGATTGCTAGAAAGGAAAGATTTAGCGATTGCATAAAATTTCATAAGTTATCTTAGGAGGTCTTACTTGGAATAAATATTAACATTCATTTCTCAGAAATTGTATTCTTTGTAATTTACGTTGCAAAATGCTATTTTAACTAGTTTGGGTACCTATTTTGAGTGATAGAGAGAGAGAAGTATATTCCATTTAGAAAATGTACATGATGGGTGCCCAACCCAACTATCAAGGAATGTCCCTCACTTTGGTCTTCTAATCAAGGACTGGAATGTATGATAAAGGCTTCATTGACTAGCCAAAATCTGTGCAATGGGCTACAAACCCTAAGGTAAATATTTTGCCATTGTTGAGAAGCCCCAACTTCCTTAAACTATTTTTAATATGTGAAGAAGGAAGACTGTCAAATGTTTGTGGATTTTTAATTTGGTATAAAGTAAACATGTTTGATCCATAAAAGGATAAATTATCAGTGATCTCAAACACAGCTGTTTAAAATTTTTCTTTCTATAATTTTCTAATAATTAAGTTTAAAATTGTTTTGGTGATGTGTACTACACTTCTTTGAAGATTTGATGTTCTTAATATTTTCACCAAATTTTGCTTCAGGTCATTCAAGTAGAGGTTTACAGAATCAATATCTTAATAATATTAATTACTTTTATAGAACTTACATGCTAAGCACTTTTAAAAGTAATTATAATATATTAACTTACTACAAATCTCTGTAATAGATGAGGAAATTGAGGCATCAGAAATTAAATAAACTTTTTCAAGTTCACAGAGCTGGTAAGATGGGAGAGCCTGGTTTGAAATCAAGTAGACTGACTCTAGGATCTTCTCTGCTGTTTTCCTATCATAGATTCATAGTGTTGATCTAATTTGATAATTGAATAAAAAGTTTCTGTTGTTTGGAAGAAGTTTGATAAAGGACATCTTATATAGAATGCCAGTAGGTCAGAGGGAGAACATTGTTGTCGTAGCCAGGGTAGAAGTGACTGACCTGGAGTCCTTATCCTGCTATTTTGATTCCTCTTCTCTCTCCCCCTGTCTGTTCCTAAAGCATCTGTGTTAAATCCAGTCTGGCCCTAGAGAGAGAGTTTGAAAACCACTTTATTAGCAGCTGCATTTTAACCATAAGGATGTTCAGGTCAAGAGCCTAAGACTCTTGTCCATAGTCATTGACAGTAACTGAATTAGAGATTTTGTCTATCATTTACAGAACAATAGTAATATTTCAATTCTGGACAGTACTGTGCACAACTGAATTAATATTATTGGCAATTAAAATTTATACGTTTTAGGGATAATTTGCAATGGAATGTTTGTTGATAATATGTTTTATTTCTGAGACTAATACTCAATGATGTATGAATTAGCATACATAGCTAAAGCTGCAATTATTTGTGTTACTGATCTGATAGGTAGATAGAAAAAAAGATAGATTTGATATGCTGTCACCACTGTTACATTGTTTAACAAATTAGTGGTTAAAGTTTTAGCAACATGAAAGCAATGGTTTATCCTTTAGGCCACACATATTGTGCACTTACTATCTTTCAAATATTTTACTTTCTCATATTTAAGGTAGTTATGCTCTTTATTATTTATTTTAGCAGTATTTTTCAGTGAGCATGTATCAAATACCTACTATACCAAGTACTGTACATGTTGTTATAGGTTATACAGAGTAGAAAGAACATACTCTTAGCTAATAAATATTCAGATAATTTTGTATGTGCTAGCAGAATTAGGTTTGAATCTCCACTTCAATATTTAGCTATGTAACTTGGGTAAGGTGCTTAGATTCTGTATTTCTTTTGTTTCTGCCTGTGAAAATGAGGGTAATAGTTGTGAGAATTGGAAGAAATAGCATCTACTGACAAAACATACTGGCACTGTAAAGTAAGGTTTATTTCAATTTCTCTCTATGGAGTTGATTAGGAAAAATGATCCCAGCAAACAAATATTTTAAAGTACTTTTGATTAATGAATGTTTCTGTTTGATTACATTTGAGCTTATGCAAATATTTTATAAAATTAATTCATGGGATTCTTTTAAAAATCTGACACATTCCAATTAATGGATGACTAGTAGAGACTTGTGATTTAATAGACCAGAACGCTATGCATTTATCTATTTACTCATTATAATCTACATTTGCATATTCATAGGCAAAAAATTCGCCAGGGTTTGGTTTCCTTGATAGCTTCACATTAGCTTTTACAGAGCTGACCTGTCTAGAGCAGACATACAGCATAGGAATTTCATTCCTTTAGAGTGTTTGCATAAACATACACAAATTAGGGTGATATGATTTAGAAACACTATTATTCTATGCAATTTTTTGATAGGATGTATGTTTATATTTCACCTAATGCCTATTGTCCTCTCAGTGTTATGTTTCCCCAAAGTTGCCCCTCTTAGTAGCTCTGTGTCCCTTATCATAGAAACCATTAACTCAACTGTAGTTCTTTTACCATCAAGTTTTCCCTAGTTCTTTATTTAATTTAACTATTGTATGTTTAGTGTGTGTGTGTGTGTGTGTGTGTGTGTGTGTGTGTGTGTGGAGAGAGAGTAAGAGAGAGATATGCCTACGGGGATTTTCTCTGGTTGGAATCAAGTCTTCAGTACTCGGTAATATAATTTAGCTTCCTTGGTTCCATAAATGAAAATGTTCTATGAACATACAGATGACATAAAATTTGATATAAACTGCTGTAGGTTATTTTAGAGAATGCCAGGCCTAAGGATAAACAGCCTAGGTAAAGCTCTTGACTAATAATAGATCAAACCTTAGCTCTAGGTTCTGAGTTCCTACACAGTGGCTTCCAAACCAGGTTTATTAGCAGAATCACCTGGTGCCCCCCCTTCCCCCCCCCCCCCAATTTTCTTTTAAAGCACAGATTCCCAATATTTATTAGTAGGATGGAGCACTGTTCACTAAAACCTCCCTTCCCTCCCCTCCCCCTTTTTATTGTAGTTTTTGCTCTCAGGTGAGGGAGGGAGCTGCCAATTTCAGAACTGTTCTTTCGACTCTGGAATGCAGCTATTCTCTTGTACATGGAACATATGTTCATGCTGGTTAGCACTGAATGTACATTCTTGTTCTTTTCGGTAGAATTTTAAAGTATACCACTAAGTATGGCTCAGTGAAAACAGCTCTCTGATCACTATAATCTGCTGCATTATATTTTGTTTTAAATAGTTTCACTGTGAATTTAAAGAAAAATCCATATGCAGCGATTTGGCATATTTCACTTGTTGAAATTGTAATTTTTCTCACACAATAGGATGGTCATGTGACTTTGTTTTATTAAATATAGGTGGACTTACAGCCATCACAGCAGGATTCAACTTGCTTAAAACTACAAATGAAATAACAGTTGTATAACTTAAAACTTTTTACTAAACTAGAGGCAAAAAACGGGTACACAAATGTCATTTCAATTAAAATTCTTTGTTTTATTTAAACATGTAATGTTTTAATGTTTCAGCCTGAGGCTGATGTTTGACATTAGGATGTAATAAGTATTTATTGAGATGTCATAAATGTCATTACTACTTTAGAATAGGCGAAAATACTTTTCTTCATTCTAAAATCCTATCTACTTACAAGTTTTAGAATTTCCATATGCTGATTTACTGGAAATATTCTGTGAAACACACATGTCCAGAAAGCTGGACAATCTGCACACTGAACCTTTTTTTTCTCCTTTAGTAGCAAAGCAGAAAGATTGTTATAGGTATGAAATAACTGAAATCTGACATTAATGATTAAAAAGTCAATCTAAAAAATTATATTTGAAATAGTCTGGATGTATATCTTACTAATTCATGTTTACACTTGGATTGTGTTTGAATGGCAGAGAGAATGAATATGAAAAAGAGAAGGTTTGCCTTAGAGAATATGAGACTACCTATAAATGCAGAATTATGTTGAGTTCAGTTTGGCCAAGGAAGATTGCTTTAAGCTAGAACATGAAAATTAAAAAGAGCATAGATATAAAATATAGTAAGAGTTCAGAAAAAAACAACAACACTACATGAATAGGAAGTTTGTATGTGTTAGCAGAATTAGGTTTGAATCTCCACTTCAAAGAAATCTCCATTTCTTCTACTTCTCTCATTTTTTAAGGAGAGGGAGATATTGATGCATAGATATGGTGTCCCCTAAAAATGTGTACACACTTTGAATGATTATGAAGTCAGTGTTTAAAGAATTTATAGAAATGATTACTTTTTTTTTTTTTTGGTCAACACCGTTTTCTAACTGACGACCGTTCTGGTCCAGGCACTGTTGATAACGAGAAGCAATAGATTCACAAACATCAAGAATCATTTTGTTCGTATTTGTGTGCCCTCAGTTTGTCAACTGTTGCCAGTTTTGTACGGTAAACTTTATCTTTTATGTATCCCCATAAAATCGTCTGGTGGATAAATTTTTTTCCCCCAAAGCTTCGTCTGGCTTCACCCATTATTTTAAATCAGTTAAACTTGAAAAGGAGTGATAATTAAGTGAGTTATCAGCACTTAAAGTGTGTATACAGCTTTTGAGGGACACCTGAAGGATGATTGCTGGAAAAGATAAAGTAGAAAAATAATCAGATATTGTCACTCCCAGAAAATTATACACTTTATATACATAAATATAGGTTTAAAGGGGGAGGATACATAGTTGTTAGAAGGAGATAAATGTTTCAAGAGAAGAGCTATGTCTGAGGAGGAAATATTTCAAAACAAATTACTAGGTATGTAACTAGGAGTGTTGGTAAATATAGAAATGAGTTATGTAATAGCAAAATTTCATATAATTGTTTATGATCTAGCAAAAACAGAGTATATGATAACTTAAAGTCAGCTATATTAGAGAAAGGAAAAATTATAACTGGAAAAGATGAGAGGCAGAGGCATATTCTTTTAAATTTCAGTCAGTAATATTGAAAGAAATGTTAATAATTTAGGAAAATTTATGTGGAATTTGTGGTCAGTAGTGCAGAAGTCAGGATCACAGAAGGGTACATGTTAAAAACCCCCCCTCAATCGCCAGTCAGATGTTTGTGCTTGACATAATGTTAGTACGGTAATTAACAGTATACTTAGTAATTCTTAAAAAGATATATACAGAAAAAAAGGGACATGTGTAATGCTTTCAATAATAAAGATTCTTTAAGAAGATATATACAAACTTCTTTCAAATATAACTGATTTTAAGAAAATTCTTTTTTTCTTAACTCACAGGGATATTGCTAGTGCAATAAAAGAACTTCTTGATACAGTGAATAATGTCTTCAAGAAATACCAATACCAGAACCGCAGGGTAAGTTTCCTAGAAGCCATCCTAGATGTTAGTTTACACATTATTTTATTGAATTAAATACTAAAATGGTTTGATTACTGGGAATAACCTCCTATCTTTGACTTTGGCTTTTGTGTCATTTCCCTTTTTTTATTTAGCATTTTTTTCTTAATTGCTTTTTATGTCTGCAGGCACTTGAACACCAAAAGAAAGAATTTGTAAAGTACTCCAAAAGTTTCAGTGATACTCTGAAAACCTATTTTAAAGATGGCAAGTAAGTACTTTTACTTATTATCCTTCTCTTTTAAAATTAAATTATATGGTTTGTATTATAGTTAAAACCATATAAATTAAATTGTTTTTACTATAGTACCAAGGTCAGAAAAAGGTCTGCTAACTACTAACTTAAAAGTAAAGAGTGCATGGTGATAATCCAGCCATACCAGTCCAAGACAGAAGGAGTTGGCAGGCCTTTTTCTGAAAGGGGCCCGATAGCAATTATTTTGACTTGGTGAGCTCTTTGCAATTGCCCGCCTCACCTATGCTGTTGTAGTGCAAAGACAGCCATGGATAATATGGAAATAAGTGAGCATTATAGCCATGTTGTAATAAAACCTTATTTATAGACACTGAAATTTGTGGTCACTCATCACATTATTTTGATTTTTTTCTTAATTTTACCATTTTTAAAATCATAAATGTAATTCTGCAGACCATACAGAAACAAGATGAGATTTGGCTTCTTGGCCCAACATTTTTAGTAGCATCAGAATCCCCTAGAGGGCTTGTTAAAGCACAAAGTGCTTTTGGGTTCCACCTCAGAGTTTCTTATTGTCTAGGATGGATCCAAGAATTTGCATTTATTTCTAAATTGTTCCCAGTGATAGTGATATGGTAGGTCTGTTGGGAGATGCTGCACTAAAGTTAAAACAATGCTTCTTAATCCTGCTTGCACATTAGATTCCCCTGAGCTCAGTTTTTAAAAGTCCTAGTGTTTGGCTCCACCCACCTTCAGAGATTCTGATTCAGTTGGCTTAGAGGGGGAGCAGGATTTAGGAGTTTTATACAAGTGTGCAAGGTGACTTCACAGTGCTGCAAAGGCTGTGATTCATTGTCCTGGCAGGAGAGACACTTTACAGGAAGTATACTAAAAGGGTAAATTGCTTATCATTTTTCAGTTTACATACAATTGGTTCTTAAACACCCCAGAAAACCAAAAATTTTATATGTAAAATGTATAGGTGATGCAGAGGCCATGTGTTCTGTGGCATTGAACCTGATAGTGAATTTTTATATTAAGTAGAATTCAGAAGATTTTGTTGACGAAACCATTTTCTAACAGTGTTTAAAGTTAGAAAAATAGTGATTATTTCAACTATAATTGGCATGACCTCTACCATGCTATCGTTTAGAAGTTTTAAAATCCCTATATCTGTGCCAAGTTATTCAATATTATTGTAATAAAATTTAAAGATAATAAGTTAGTCTATTAGAGTGGTCTTGGTTTTTAAAGCTATCTTTTATAATTCAGATAGGTAAAATATTTACATTTATATTATGAATTTAAAATACTGAGGTAAAGTATTAGTGGTTTTTTGTTGTTCCATACTACTGTTCAGGTTGTCTCGGAGAAATGCTCCTTCATGATTTAGTTTAATAAGCTGGCAGGTGTGTTCTGAAAATAAACTTGCATCTGTTTTTCCTTCATCTCTGCTAAGCCCAAATAACCAGAAAACACATTAAAAGGATAATTTACATGTTGGGATCATTATTTCTGCTTCTAACTAATTAAAAACTGTCACGGAAAAAGCATGTTGAAAGATAGAAATTCATTTAGAGCCTAATTTTCATTAATCTGAAATGATTTACTTTCAATTTTTTAACAGTTCAAATAGGCATATAGATTATTTAGGCTTCCTGCTATTACTTTTTCTCCATTCAGCAGCTTCTTTAAATTACAATTAGTTGTGTATGAATAATGTGCCATGAGTTTTGTACCTGTTTCCTCAAACTGAATGTTATTACAACAGCCTGCTGATCTTTGAGCCATCTTTCAATAGAGGGATGATTTGCATCGATTCAACTTAATTCTTTGGGGTCCCTCTTTTTTGATAAATGTCTAAGATGAAGATTAAATCTTTAGCTATGCAATTAAAAACCTGGTAAGGCCACACAGTGGGACAAGGGCATCAGCTCTGACCTGGGCTGATAGGAAATGTGGTACAGCACAACATAATTTTTTAGAACATATATGTTGTCAGCTCCAAAATATTGAAATTGCATGATTATTTTGTTTCAAAAGTAGATTAATAATACAAGCAGTTGAAGAATTTTCAGATTTGTTTTTGAAAGAAGATTTGAGAGATTGGGATGAATCATATTTGAAAGTAATTAGGGTTTTCTCAAGCATTTATAATGCCCATTGCCATATAGATTTTGAGACTGAGTGTAATACTTAATGCAGATTTTAATTTGGTAACTTTTATGAGCCATAGCGGGAAACTACATTAGAATCCGTTATTTGTTTGACCTATAGATGAACCTTGGTGGTTCAGAAGCCCACCAACATCTAATTACCAACCAGAACCACTAAGGGGCAGTAATTCCTAGATAGTTTCAAATGATTGAGTACCATTCAATTCCAATCTGAAATAAAACTTATGATACTCAGTGCTTCTAGTTCTTTTTTTTTCCTAAGTTATTTCGTTGCTACTGTTATTGGGTGAGATTAGTATAAATATTTTTAAAGAATGAATTTTTTGGATAAAATTAATGATTTATTTTTCTTTGTACAGGGCAATAAATGTGTTCATAAGTGCCAACCGACTAATTCATCAAACCAACTTGATACTTCAGACCTTCAAAACTGTGGCCTGAAAGTTGTATATGTTAAGAGATGTACTTCTCAGTGGCAGTATTGAACTGCCTTTATCTGTAAATTTTAAAGTTTGACTGTATAAATTATCAATCCCTCCAGAAGGGATCTAATCTAGGATGTTGAATGGGATTATTGCCATCTTACACCATATTTTTGTAAAATGTAGCTTAATCATAATCTCACACTGAAGATTTTGCATCACTTTTGCTATTATCATTCTTTTAAGAATTATAAGCCAAAAGAATTTACGCCTTAATGTGTCATTATATAACATTCCTTAAAAGAATTGTAAATATTGGTGTTTGTTTCTGACATTTTAACTTGAAAGCGATATGCTGCAAGATAATGTATTTAACAATATTTGGTGGCAAATATTCAATAAATAGTTTACATCTGTTAAACATTTCTTTACTTGAAAAAATTGATATATATATAAATATATAACCATAAGACCAAGATTACTTGGGTTAATATCTAAAGAACTTTTAATGGGAGCTTATTAGCAGTTTATCAAATAATTAAGCAGCAAGAATTTTTATTTTTTTGTCCTTAATCACTCCAGGCAAAAAGTAGTCAATGGAAATATTTTTTTATTTATATAAAGGGTACTATTTTTCCAGCCTGTTTTAAGAGACATATGAGAGAGATGTCAATTTATAGTGTTTTCACGTTATGATGCCACTTTTTGAACTCTGACAGTGTGAAATTAAATACTTCTTGTGTGCTAGGCCCTTATAAGCTTTGCGCCTTTGCCTCCAGAATAGCCACAACTAATAGTAATTTGAAGCTATACCAATGCTCATTGGTTTGAAATTGTCATGAGTGTTAATATTATATACTCTCTTTAATATATATATAGTTATATTTCACCATAGAGAAGTATTAAGGAAATTATGTATCAAATATTCATGTAAATAAGCATTTTCATTTTTCAGTTATGAAATAAAGGAAAAATTAGAATTTGTTTATTTTTTATAAAGATTTTAAATGTTAAACTACTTTTCTGTTGGCAATACAATTTTTTTGCTATAATGAATTTAGTTACTTTTTAATTTTTCTTTTTCAAAAATATTTTAAAAGAACTATTGTCATTGGCAATAGAAAAGGAATAAATTGTTCTGTTAGATGCAAACAGAAAATATGTGGAAAGAAGCAAAACAATAGACTACTGGATGAAATATCATAATTTATGGACATTTTATTGAATTGATGTGTTTTTTTTTCTTCCAAGCCAGTAAAATGAATACAATTGGTTATCTTAATACTATTTATTTTTGGCATAAAACTATTATTTACTCTTAGAAGTAGATGGGTGGTTATTTGCAAAATACGTGCGTATGAAAACAACATGTAATTTTTTTTTTTTGATCAGCAGACTTTTTTAACATAAACCAGTACATCTCCTGTGGTCTCTACCTCCTTAACAGAACAAATTAGCTACTGTGCCACAACTCATCTGTTTTCAGAAGCCGCCTTCTATCTTTTTATTCCACTGTCCAATATTTCGGGCTTTGGTTTTCATGAAACTTACCTCTAGAAAAGATACTTATTCTCGGGATAGTATTCAATTTCTTATGTAATCTTGGTGGGGAGAGGCCAATGTGGCCCTAGTCAGATACTTTCCCAGAGAACAGAAAGGTGGCTCCCAAGGAAAGGAAGATAAGGAGACATGGAGCACCTTATCTTTCTGAAGCACTGTTCTAAGAACAGTAATTCCCTTAATAGTCCTGTGATTTAGCTGCCTGCCTTATAGTTGAGGAAACTAAAGAGAGCTTAGGTTACAGGAGCTGGTACCAGCTGGAGCCAGGGTTTGAATTCAGTGTATATCTCCAGACTCCATGCTCTTTTCACCAAACTGTATTTCATCCATTGGCAAAAATGGACCTTGTTTAGAATATTGAATCTGTAACACAAAGCTGATAGGCTCTCCTTGATCCATATGGAAGTGAAAAAAACTAGGATAAGTCTTTATAAATCTAAATCTTGTTTTAATTTAAAGGGTCATTTTTTAGATGTTCAAAATGTTCCCTCCTCACACTTTCTTGAAAGAAAATGATACAATTATAGATGGTAGGTTTTTTTTTATTATTGCATTTTAATAATCTTATCAGGCAACACAAGATTGGCAACCCAATATCAATCCCTCCTATTTTTTTTTCTTTTTATGGAAATTATTTTTTAGATATATATATAGGTAGTAGATGGATAGATATAGTTAGGTATAGATATACACACACACATATAATTTTATTTTTAAAACACCATTTTCCCTTCTAAGCCCTCTTCTACCTCCACCTAGAAATGACTTTAAATTTGCAGAAAATTGGCAAAAATAAGCATAGTACAGAGAACATCTACTCATTTTTTACCCAGATTCAACTATTACTGAGATTTTACCATTTTTGTTTTTAACATTTGCTTATTTACCCTCCCTGAAATCTCAGTGACTCCAGATAATTTCCATGGTCCCCTTTGTCCTTTACAGCTTTAACATAACATATTTCCGAAAAGTATAGTCTTTGTTTCCTCTACTCCCATTTTTAATGGTATGTTCTTCACTTTGGGTTTCCTCATTACATTCAGATTTTGCCTTCCTAAGATACCACATTGGTGATGCTGTGTCATATATCACAATCCATGGGAGACTTTAAATCCATGCTAACATTTCCCCCCGGATTTAGCATCTATTGATGATTTTTGCTTATTCCATCAGTTGCAAAATGGTGATTTCCTAATTATAGCATTTCTTCATTCTGCTATAAGTGGGAACACTCCTTTCTTCTTTATCTCTTTCCACCTGAATGTTTATATTAACTATTGTTTTGGACTCCTGGTTTTCTGTTTTTTTCAGGGCTTGCATTTCATTTCTTACTTTGTCTTGTCTTAGGTTTGGCTAATAGGAGCTTCTGGGTCCTAATCTCTTGTGGCATCTTCTATCTTTCTCCCCTCCTCCCCCCCATACCAACATAAATAAAAGATGTTCCAGGATCTAGAATTGGCAGTTTTTCCAAGGAACCTTGGCTGCTGGGTGTGTCGCCTTTACTAGGTGTTTTCCTGCTGCTAGGCCTATTCAGCAGAATAGGAAATGTGCATGTACACATCTTACGTGTGCTCGTATCCACATTTGATTTAGAAATCATGCGTTCACTGATACCTCCAATTCCATCCCTCTTCACAGGGTTCTTTCTTGCTTTCTCTATTTCATTTTTCTATGTCCCTTTTTCCTCGGAATCCTGGCTCTTTAAACAGTGCATCAGTTTATTCACTTGTTCAATCCTATAATACATCTAAAATAGTTTTCCTTGCTTTTGCCCACAGAATGTATAAAAACACACTTAAAAGCCTGCAATTTTGTTTGTATCCTCTCCCTATGTGTACCTTGCTTCAGACCAAAGATATATAATTACATTCTGTGTTCATAAATTACTTCAATTCATTCTCTTTTTTTTTTTTTAACTTTACTGTTACTTATTTGAAATAAATTGGGTTCAATTGTTTCAGTTTTCTTCCAAGTATAAGATCTATCTTGTTCCCCCTCACCCTTGACAATTACATCTGTGAATTGTTCATGATTAGTACTTTTGCTTAAGTTCTCTCAATCATCTAGGTTGGACAAAACTCATCCTCTAGTAGCTTTTATACCACACCTTTATATAATATTCTGAATTCTTGTATGTTCAAAATAATTTTCCTGCAGCCTTGATAGTTAAAGCATATATTGATTGTATATATCATGCTTGGTTCACATTTTCTTTCCTTAAGTTTCGTGAAAATAGCTTTACTGTTGCCTTGCTTTATACATTACTAGTATGTTGTTTTGAGTAGTCCAATGTCATCTAATTTTTTTGCCTTTACATTATTTTATCTTTTTGCCTGGAAACCTTAAAGATTTTTTTTTTTTTTTAATTTTCAGAGTCCAAAGTTTTATTATGATACTAGAGGCCCAGTGCATGAAATTCGTGCTCTCGGGGGGTGTGGTGGGGGGTCCCCTCAGCCCAGCCTGTGCCCTCTTGTAGTCCAGGAACCCTTGGGGGATGCCCGACTGACCGCTTAGGTCCACTCCCTGGGAGCAGGCCTAAGCCGTCAGTCGGACATCCTTAGCGCTGCCACGGAGGCAGCAGAGGCTCCCTCCACCACTGCTGCACGCACCAGCCGTGAGCCTGGCTTCTGGCAGAGCGATACTCCCCCTTTGGGAGCACACTGATCACCAGGAGGCAGTTCCTGTGTTGAACATCTGCCCTCTGGTGGTCAGTGCATCTCATAGCAACTGGTAGTTTTGCTGTTTGGTTGATTTGCATGTATCAGAATTGATCATTCCAGCTTAATTTTTTTGGCACTTGATGGGCCCTTTCTGTTTGTAGATTAAGGTCTTCCTTTATGTCTGAAAAGTTTTCATGGATTACAGTTTTAAGTATTAACTTCTGTTCCGTTGTTGAGCCCTCTTTGCCTATCTTCTGTTTTAACCACTTTCTCTGAAAACGTCTTGCCTTATTTCATTTTCACTTCTCTTGGTTGTTTTTTCCTACTTTTCTTCAAGACTTAATTTTTTATCCAAATCTACTTTCTCAAGCACCTTCGAATTTAATCTTGGTTTTTGGTATAATTTTCCCCCCTTCATTCAACCAACTCTCATTTCTTCCTATGTTTGTGTTTCTGTTATTAGTACCTCTGAGTTAGGCTACTTTTTTTTATATAATATGCCATATGTTTACTTGTGGATATTTTATTTAGTCAGGGTATGCTGGTATAGTTTTATTAGCTCCTTGGGGTATTTGATTTTCAGCTGCAGAAATGAATTCTGTTGATGTTGGAGAAAGCTCAGTGTGCCTTTATTACCATCAAATGCTTAATTTTCTTATTTTCTTCCCTCCTACTGTCTCATTCTTTTCTGAGTACAAGGCTTCTTCAAAGCAACCACTTCCAGTCTTGCCTCTTGCATGTAGATAACTAGTTCTATGAACTATCAAACGACCCATTTTCAGAATCTTGTCTTTTGCTGTTGCACTTTCTCTTTCCTAGGGGTGATTTAAGTTTGCTTTTTCTAAGTCCTCTGTTCCTTTTCTGTTTCTTAGCACAGAATCTCTTAAACTTGTCCCCACTTGCTCTCCTCACTCACTCCCAGGCTCGCCAACAGTAGGAGAGAAGTGTGAGCTCTGTTAGGATTTTTCTTCTCCACTTCCAGGCGGCACGAAGGTTGTCTCCTAATCCTGAAGGCACAAGTCATCTCAGGTTCAATTTACTCTCTTTGTTGCAATTAGTAATTTTATTTAGGAGGACATGGTGAATATTAAGAATCAGACACCCACCATTATTCTCCTAACCTGAAGTTTCCTTTTTCAGTTTCTAAAATAATTTTGCTTGCTTGTGAAGTCCAAAATTCCTAAAACCTATGGAATAAAAG